ACTTCTGACATCAGCCACAAGTTTGAGGGTCCCCAGGGCCACCCTCACTTTAGACCAGCTGCCTACCAATGTGGAGATTCCCAGACTCCTGTAGACTCCCTCAGGTTTGATAATTTGCTAGAAGTGTTCGTGGTACTCAGAAAGTGCTATACTTAGGATGGTAGTTTTATCATAACAAAAGAATACAAATCAGAAACAGACAAAGGAAGATATTCATAGGTGGAATCTGGGACTGGAAGGTCCCAAATGGAAAGTTTTCTTGTCCTCAGGGACATGTTATCCTCCCAGCATTGATATGTAGCAATATGTGCAGAGTAATGCCAACTCAGGAAACTCACCAAAGCATCAATGTTCAGAGTTTTTATTGGGGTTTTATTGCATAGGCATGATTGAGCAAATTACTGCCCATGTAATTGAATTCAGTCTCCAATGCCACGCCTACCTTCCCTGGATCCGGCTGATTTTGTGTGGACCAAAGCCCCAACCCTCTAATCACAGTGGTTGTTTTTTCTGCATGGCCAGCCTCCATCCTGAGTTATCTCATTAGCATAAACTTTCTAGGGGCTCACCATGAGTCACCTGGTTAGCACAGATTACCCAAAAGACCCACAGTGAATAGCAAAGACACTCCTATCACTCAGAAAATTCCAGAGGTTTAGAGGTTACCTTCCAGGAGCTGGGACAAAAGCCAGACCTCTCTTTGGGTACAGTTAATTATTCACTGCACAAGGAGGTTGAGAATATTCAAAACCTTCAAGTCCTATCTCCTTCATGTTTAACATCTCTTCCTTTAGGAGAAATATTTTTTATCTCTCTCTCCTCTTACCTTTTACTGTAAGTAACAAGAAGAAATCAGGCAGCCCCTTTAACACTCTGGCTGGGAGTCTTAGCTGGACCACCTAGTGTATTTGTTGTATTTTCTACTTTCTACGTAACTGCAAGCAGCAGTGTTGCTAAACTTTCAGCCACTACAGGACAAAAATTTCCTTTCCTCTGGTTTCCAGTATGTTTCCCACTTCTCTCTAAGCCCTCACTGAGTCTTCTCAATGTTCAGAATTTTTTTTTTTTTTGAGACAGAGTCTCGCTCAGTCGCTCAGGCTGGAGTGCAGTGGTGTGATCTC